ACACCCAACACAGAAGGTTTTAGATGCACCAGTAGAGAGAATACATTTGATCTCCAAGTATCTTCATCTCAAGGACAACGGTAAGTTGAGCAAGAAACCAAAAATGGATCGAGATGAGCATGAAAACAAAATTATTATATAGGTGATTCAAAACCGGGCATAAAATTTTAAATTCCTGAATTCTTGAATAATGTATAATTGAAGTTGACAAATGATTCAACCAGTTTTATCTACTAATGCATTACAAACTAGGAATGTTCAAAACACTAAATCTTTTACGTGTGTAGAAGTTGTTTGATACGATAAGAGCTAGTAATATAATGCAACCGATATAGAACTGTCGCTGAGCACCCAACAAGTTGCTTGGGAATTGAGAGTTTGTAGACGACTCATTGAAAAAGTTGACAACGAAGCTCATCATCCCAAACAGGAAAAAACTTTATACTTTTTTTTTTACAATATAAGAAAATAGATTTTCAAGCAACACAAGTGATGGTATTGGCTCCCACCTGAAGCTGGGGGCAGGCGCTCAACAAAACATCCAGGGTTTGTAAGTGATACTCATCAGGAAATACTTGAATAATGCACTCCATCAAATAAAATTGAGCAATTTCATCCTTACAATTAACAACCTGTGAAACATAAGTATGATCAATAGAGTGGAAATGACAAGTTATGAACTTGTGAGATTCAGCAAAATAGGAAAAAAAAAACTGAACATTTTACACCTGCTCCAAGACTCGGGGAAGGACAAAATCCTTGTACATATCAAGGTCAACACCCTCCACCTGACTGAGAATATGCAGATTCTTTCCAACCTAATAACAAGAAGAGGGGGACAGAAACTTGTATGAGCGTCCATGGAGAATGTACACAATGCCATTTTAGTGAAAGTAACCAGTCTCAGAATTCTGTTGTTACAAGATCACGTAGCTCTCCCCTTTCCTTCTCCCGTTTCTCCTTATCTCGGGCAGGTCCCTGCAGACCAGAAAGCCCGACAGCAAGCCTCAACACAGGGTCAGCTAAGAGTATGAATGATTCACAAGCATTATAACCTGCATGACCATAAATCATGCATTCATGAACTATTTGTACCCTCATGACATGCAACCATCCTTATACCATGCATGTTCAAACATGAGAGTAGGTGACAATATCGGATGTCTTGAACCCACCTGATGTTGCATTCGTACCCAAAGTTTGTTCATTTCTGTGAAATTTTGGAGTACAAATTCAACTGCATCATTGACAGTGTCAGCATCTCTGTGGGAGTCAAGGAAACATCCGCAGATTAACTGATTTTTTTTTTTTATGATAAACAGAACTTTCATTGAAAAAAAATATGTAAGAACATAAGCGCATAAAAAAATAAAGCATACAAAAAAAAGTCAAACTATGAAAAGGTTCTCCAACCAAGTAAAATGAGACAAAGATGAATACAAAACAACTATGTAACTGAAGCCCAAGGAGGTCACATGGAAACCCCACTACGGTTTCTAGTTCAAAAACAAGGATCCAGCAAAGGCCTTCTATAATAAATCACATTTTTGTAATAAAAATAAAAACGCGCATTTGAAGCCCATGAATCTTTGAATTCCTTACCCTTCATACTCTGAACCAATATCAGGTAGCTTATCCCGACTGACTTGAGAAAGATAACTCCTTAAAAATAGCCCACGTAAGGGATGCTGAATACCACGGCACATCTCGACAAGATCCTTAAGAATATCTTTTGCAGGAGCCTCCTTGGACTTGATATACACTGATCCCATAGTACAAAGAAGGTATCTGGAAAATTCCATAGATCAAGAGAGAGTTTCACAAAACAATACATATACACTGGTAGCAATGCTCAAGAGACATAATAAGCATTGCCAAAAGCTGATGGACAAATTATTCTTTTTTATAACTTATAAGAGACGGAGCATTTCATTAAAAATTCCATGGCCAATAGCGAAGAAGGATGAATGCATCTTTCCTTTCTTTTTTTTTCTTTTCTTCTCTTTTCTTTCTTTTTTTTTTTTTTTTTTTTTTTTTTTTTTTTTTTTTTTTTTTTTTTT